TCCCTCAACGAGGAAACTGTACGCCCTGAAGTGGAGGCTCTTCACTTCATGGTGCGGAGACCGCCTGCTTGACCCAGTTAACTGCCCGATTGGTACAGTGCTGGAGTTCTTGCAGGCCCGTTTCTCCGCTGGGTTAACCCACTCCACCCTGAAGGTCTACGTGGCGGCCATAGCGGCCTACCACACCCCTCTTGGTGGTCACTCGGTGGGCAAGGACCCTCTGGTTACACGTTTCCTTCGCGGTGTGATGAGGCTGAGGCCTCAGGTACGATCTCGTGTCCCTCCTTGGGACCTCGCTGTGGTGTTAGAAGCTCTCTGTAGGCCTCCCTTTGAGCCTATTGAGGAGATATCGGATCGTCTTCTTACATTAAAGACTGTGTTTCTCTGTATCTTCTCGAAAGAGAGTTGGGGATCTGCAGGCTCTTTCTGTGGCGCCTTCCTATCTCGACTTTGCGCCCGGTCTGGCCAAAGCTTTTTTATACCCTCGCGCGGGGTATGTCCCTAAGGTCCCCTCCTCTACACCACGGCCTATCATACTCCAGGCTTTTTATCCTCCTCGCGAGGGAACGAGACGCTGCGTTGCAAGGCCATACTTCCGGCATCCCTACTAGAGCTTGCTTCACTCCTAAGAAGCTAGCGCCGGCGGCACCTCACGTGCTTTTAAAGCTTCCTGGTCATGACGTCACCCGCCGCGGACGTCTTGCCCATCGTTCGACTGATTACACATATGATTCAGAGCTTGGTATCGCTGAAGGCGTTCCCCCTAGCGTTTTCCGACGCAGTGTCTCGTTCCCTCGGGGGAACCATGGTTACATACGTAACCTGGGACGTTTCTCTGGAATTTCTAGATTTACTAGGTATGGGTTAGAGTAAAATGCTAATATTTGTTTTATTCTGTAAAGGCCTCAAAATTCTTCCAAATTTCAAATAAAAATATTATAATTTAGAGCCTTTTTCTTCAGAAAATGACAGTTGGTCAAAGTAACAAATGTAATGTAAGACAATAGACAGGAGAGCACAAGGCACAAACAAACACACAACAAGCCAAGTGCTCAAACAAAGACACAGGAGTGTACCCTGGTGGCCACCTTGGGCACACCAGCTGATGTCTGTGACAAAATTGTAATAATATTTCACAATATTAACATTTTTACTGTATTTTTGATCAAATAAATGCGGCCTTGGTGAGCAATTTAAACAGTAGAGTATATAAAAAAAAAAATTCTGGTAAAAATATATATAATTTTATTTTGTCAATAAATTTTGTGTAAAATAGCTAAAACAAATATGAATTAAGTACAAATATTAATATTTTATCATTTTCTGTTAATGTGAAAATATAATTTATTTTTAGATTTAATAATAATAATAATAATAATGTATTGTTTTTTGCTTTAATGACAAACCTCTAGTCAAGTCAAGTCACCTTTATTTATATAGTGCTTTATACAATACAGATTGTCAAAGCAGCTTTACAGTGTCAAACAGGAAAATAGTTTGTCAATAATGCAGAAGGACAATAGAAAACAGTAAATTTTTTAGTTAAAGTCAGTTCATCATTGATTCAGTGATGTCATCATCCACTTCAGTTCTCTTCCAATAGTATCCGTGCAATCAAGCCGTCAATATTGCCAGAAATTAGGCGTCCCTAACTAAGCAAGCCAAAGGCGACAGTGGCAAGGAACCAAAACGCCATCGTGACAGAAATGGAGAAAAAAAAGCCTTGGGAGAAACCAGGCTCAGTCGGGGGGCCAGTTCTCCTCTGGCCAGACGAAACCAACATGGTGTGGTTTAATTCCAGGCTGCAACACAAGTCAGATTGAGCAGAGGACTCGGCTGGTTTGTCATAGTCTTGAGCCAATGACCGTCTAGTTGACAAGGTCTTCGCAGGGGATCTGTCTCTAGGGCTCATCTAGTTGACGTGGTCTCTGCTGACATTCAGGGCTGTAGAGGTCGTCTCTCTGTGCTGATCCACCATCTGGACTGGATACGGACTGGATCCGTGTGGCTACAGTGACCATCTGATCTGGAAATGGACTGGATCTGGGTGGCTACGGTGACATCAGAATAAGAATAAAACAGACTAATATTAGTGAAGATGCCATTTCTCTTATGATGTAGCGAGTACATATGGGAAGTGTTTCCGGTTCCAGTTGACCTAATTAATGCAGCCTAACAATCCTTTAACAGATTTGAATTATAGAAATGCAAGTGTATTATGTGTATGCCAGGTTTAGGAGATGGGTCTTTAATCTAGATTTAAACTGACAGTGTGTGTCTGCCTCCCGAACAATGCTAGGTAGATTGTTTCAGAGTTCGGGTGCTAAATAAGAAAAGGATCTGCCGCCCGCAGTTGATTTTGACATTCTAGGTATTATCAAATGCCCAGAGTTTTGAGATTGTAGCGGATGTGTATAATGCGATGTGAGCTCACTCAAGTACTGAGGAGCTAAACCATTCAGGGCTTTATAAGTAATTAGCAAGATTTTAAAATGTATTCATTGTTCAACAGGGAGCCAGTGCACTGTTGATAGAACCGGGCTAATAGTGTATGGTCATAATTCATGGTTCTAGGAAGAACTCTAGCTGCTGCATTTTGGACCAACTAGAGTTTGTTTATTAAACATGCAGGGCAATGCAATAAAGCATTACAATAATATTTTTAATCTACCCTTTAGGTCAGGTCGTAATTTAGTTATATTTTTAAGATGGAAAAATGCGGTTTTACAAATGCTAGAAACATGATTTTTCAAAGGAAAGGTTGCTATCAAATAGAAAACCAATGTTCCTAACTGATGACGAAGAATTGACAGAGCAACCATCCAGTATTATACATTGATCTGGGTTATTACATGCAGAGGTTTTTGGTCCAATAATTAACACCTCTGTTTTTTTTCATCAACTATGCATTCCGTTAGTTTTGCGAACTGGTATGCTTTGTTGGGTCGCAAAGAATTATAGAGCTGAGTATCATCATCATAACAGTGAAAGCCAACAACATGTTTCCTGATGATATCTCCCAAAGATAACATGTAAAGCATGAAAAGCAGTGGTCCTAGTACTGAGCCTTGTGGTCCTCAATTCTGTACTTGGCTTAAGCTCTACCTGAAATCAAACCTGAATTTATACATGGAATCTTCAGGCTTAAGCTATGTTTCAGTATAAGACAGATGTTAATTATCTGACATTATATGATGGTCTTGATTAATAAAATGCTGCACAGTGACTTCCAATCTTTTGGTTTCCTCTTTTATTTTGTTAAAAAGAGCACCACTTTGTGGTTACTACAGTTGTTACAGCTACAGTTCTAAAGTCTTCCCCATGTACATATTTTCTTTTAACTTTTCAGAAGCATTATTTCAATATATTTCATGTTTATCTTTTTTAAAGACTATGCGCTATCCAAAAGATCAAATAAAATCTGGTGGATAAACTAAAATTGACAGTATTTTTTACTTCTGAAGGGACACATGAGGACTGAGCATGTTTGTGTGTGATTTTGTTCAGGTCATTGAAGTACTGTGACTTGCGACTGATCGACTCCAGCTACCTGACGCGTACGGCACTGGAACAGGAAGTGGGTTTGGCCTGCTCTTACGTGACACACAGAGTAATACCCGAGACGAAAACAGCAGCAGGTAGAGAAGAGAGACCAACCGATGACGAGAGGAGCTCAGGAGAAACGGCAGACCATGACGAGCTCCAGATGGAGCTGGAGAGGCCACCCAGCAATGCCAGCGCTGCTACCAGGACCTCTGGTGAGGGACACTGAACACAAGCTGGGCCTGATTCCGGTCTTGTGTTGTCACATGATCCAATATAATTAATCTTAATTATCTTTCAGGCTCTACCACAGAAAATGGCGTCAGTTCTTCAAGTGTACTGGACAAACCGTCCTTGCACAGTGACCCATCCAGCAGCAGAAATACAATGGACTCTTGCTCCTCTCCGATTCGCTTCAAACAGGAGTGTGACTCCCAGGCTCCCTCCTCTTCTGCCACATCCTCGTTCTCCTCTGCCTCCTCGTCCTCTTCCTCTTCCTCTTCCTCTTCTCTGGGAGCTCAGAAACCAAGCCAGTCCACGCAGGCCCCACGTGAATGTAACAGGACGCAGGTCTTCCCCCGGACAGTGGTGCTCTCCCGGGCGGCGTATGCCCTGCTGGCCCCTGAGACGCTGGGTCAGCCCAGTTCAGCGTCTCTGCTGCCTCACGCGGATGTGGTGTGGAGCAGCCCGCTCAGACCGCCTGTTCCTCACGCTCTCGGAGGGGCAGAGCAGTCCCTGTACTACCGCCAGTGGACTACAGCCAGGCAGCACCATGCGGATTATGAAGTGCCAGCTGTGCCCCATTCCAGAAGACTGCTGTTGAGTGGACCACCACAGGTGAGCAGTAGCTAAATGGTTAAACGATCATTTTTTGTTTGTTTGTTAAGGCAAGCATCACTATTTCTGGTACTATGGTGTTTATTGACAACACAGTGATCAAAAATACAGGTAGAATATGAGAAAAATGCAAAAATATTTTAAAAAAAATAATATTTTATTAAATAGATCAAACTGAAATGACATACACATTTAAAATACACAAAATATGCAAAAATATTTAGAAATATATGTTTTTTAATGGTTAAAATATATAGAATATGCAGTTAAAATACACAAATTATAAAAAAATATTTAAAAGTTTAAATATATAAAATATAATTAAAATGTATAGTTTAAATACACAATGTACAAAAAATACTAATTTAAATATTGAAAACATAAAATATACAGAATACAGTTAAAATAAACAAAATATACACAAATATTTTAAAAAGTTACATGTTAAAAAAAAAGTTGAAATCTATAGAATGCACAGATAAAATACACAAAATATGCAAAAAATATAAAAAAAATGTAATTTATAAACTAATATGCAAAATACATAGTTTATGCAATGGACAAAAAGTACATAAATTAAATATTAAAAGGCATGGTTAAAATATACAGAATACATAGCTAAAATACATAACATGTAAAAAAAATAAATTATAATTTAAAAGTTAAGAGTTTAGAAAATCAAAAACAGTTAAACAAAATGTGCAAAAATATTTTTAAAAAATTTTAAAATGAAAAATAGTTCCAGTACACAAAATATACAGTTCAAATACACAAAATATACAAATGTATTTTACATATAATAAAATATTTAACATTAAATATAATACAATATAAATATACAATATGCATACAGTATAATATAAAATAATTACATGAAATATTTATAAAATGAAATATTTAAAAATAGTTAAAATATAAAAAAACAGTTAGAATACATAAAACATACAAAAAAATTTAGCATTCAAAAGTATTTTAAACATTAAGTATTAAAATATGAATTAATAGTTAACATTTACAAAAATGCACAGAATAGGAGAATTATTCTTTATTGCGCCTGACCAGTCAGAGACTATGTCTGTTGTTAAGCCACATCCATTTACAATGGCCTCTGCTTCCTGCTAATTGGCCTCTTTGCCAAGCATCCAGTGTCTCATGCTCCATTTTGGCTGTTTAAGGTTGGAAAAACAGGTGCGTATCTGCAGTTTCTACGAATCCTGTTCCGTATGCTGATTCGCCTTCTGGAGGTGGACGTGTATGATGAAGAAGAGCTGGAGCAGGGTAAGAAAGGAATCTCCATATTACTTCACCCGATGGGCCTTTCCTTGACCTTTTTTATTAATGACCTTCAATTGAAATCTCTAGATGTGCAAGACAAATCAAAGGTTCCCGCTGTCAGTGGGCCGCAGTGGCCTGATGTGGAGGACATCCGCAAACTGCCCTTTGACCTCTACCCCCATGACCCCAAGTTCAGATATGCGAGTCCAGTGTATGCAGACAGGATGCCAAAGTCACTGAACGGTATTGAACTGCTTTTTTATTATGGTGTGTAAATAAAAAACTTGCTATTTCTTCAAAATAGCAAGTATGCTTATGTGCTTTTTTGCAACCTTGCGTGAAAACACAGAGGTTAAAACAGAAAGACTGGAGGCAGAAGAGGAGCCGCCGAAGAGAAACACGGTGTCTGTTAGACTCAGCCTGTTTGCGGCCCATAATGCATTTCACCACTGTGAGCAGTGCCACCGTTACAGCGAGCCTGCTCCTGCCGCTCAGGTGAGGACAAATGTGATTGATCATGTGATGCATCAACATCTATTGACATATTTTTAAATGACATTATTTCAAAACCCTCAGTAAAGCAATAGCATGTCTAGAAAGGTATATGGTGGCTGTAAGATGTTCTGTGTGTGTGATTCTAGCTGTCCGACTGCACCTTCCACGCCTTCACGTTCTGCTCCTCCATGCTGGGAGAGGAAGTCCAGCTGCACTTTATCATTCCTAAAGTCCAAGAGCCTCATTTTGTGTTCAGCCAGCAGGGCAGTCATTTAGAGAGCATGCGGCTCCCACTGATCTCAGACAAGGTGATTATTTACTCACCCTCATGTCATGTTGTTTGTTTGTTTGTTTGTTTTTGCTGTCTGTGGAAAATTAATAGACACATTTTGACCATGTTTGTGTTCAAAATGTCTTATGAGGGCATAGTTAAGTAATAAAAGCATACAGGTTTTGAATTTTTGGGTGAATTTTTGGTTGAAGTTTTTTTTAAAGGAAATTAATACTTTTATTTAGAAAGGATGCATAATTTGATCAAAAGTGACAGTAAAGACGCTTATAATGTTAAAAAATATTGATATTTCACATCACAGGAATGGATTATATTTTAAAATATATTACAAGAAAAAAACAGTTATTTTAAATTGGATTAATATTTGAGCATGTTATGGTATTTTTAAGCATACTTTTGAAATAATTAGCTTTAATCATATTTAGCATAATTAGTATCATTAGCTATAACAACAGCTGAACAGTGGACACAAGATGAAACTGAAAGACAGAGATAAACAGAGATTTTTAAAGGATAGTTACTAAAATGACACTAAATAAAAGCTTCAAAAACTGACCACAGTCAATATTTTGTTTTTTGGAAATACCTTGTATTCAAGTGCAGTGCAAATAATATAGAGATGCATCCTAATGTCAGGAGCACCTGGATACCTGAGCAATGCAAAAAGTCCCGTTGGTTGCCGAGTCATCGCTCGTGTTTTTTACATTATGTTTTCGTGCCATATTGCACAAGTTGTCTTAAAGTGAAGTGGTGCTCTGTTTGCCGACTCAGGAGTCCGGCCTGCTGAAAAGTCCCATCTTCACACCCACCACGGGCCGGCAGGAGCACGGCCTTCTCAACATCTACCACGCCATGGAGGGAGCCGAGCACCTGCACATTTTGGTGGTCAAGCAATATGAAATGCCTCTCTACAGGAAATACTGGCCCAACCACATCCTTCTAGTGCTGCCCGCCGTGTTCAACAACTCTGGAGTGGGTGAGTACTGGCCAGAAGATCGCATACTGTATTACTCACATTATTGTGACTGAAAAAACGTAGGGCTCACACATGCTTGAGCTGTTACAATAAGTTTTAAGATCATTCCAATAATAATAATAATAGAGAATGTTGCCTAAATTTACTTTTAGCAATTTATAGTACTTTATTTGTTTCTTTTTAAAGAGTAATGACTAATTAAAATGATTAATTGTAGTTTTTAGTGCTTTAATTTATTTAGATAAAATAGCATACTATTAATAATGCACATTTATTTGCTATCAGCCATTGCAGGACACTAATTGTTGAATTTCTGTTTTTTATTGCATGCATAATCTAGAGTAATATTTATGTTTTTTGTACTGGGAAATTCAGCTTGTATGTAACACATACAGTTCCTTATGGAAGCCCGTTTCCGCCACTGAGTAAAAATAAATAAAAGAATTGCTTAATCTCACAATTCAAACTTTTTTCTCGCAATTGCAAGTTTACAGGTTTTCTCAGAACTGTGTGATAAAAACGTGCAATCGCGAGTTATAAAGTCAGAATCGTGAGATATGAACTGCAGTTGCAGGAAATTTTTTTTTATAATTGTGTGATATAAACTTGCGAGTCACAAAGTCAGAATTGCATGATGTAAACTCGCAGTTCTGACTTTTTTCTTGTAGTTGTGAGAAATTTGGAATTGTGAGAAAAGAAATTTGCTAATTTTTTTTATTAAATGGTGGAAACAAGCTTCCGTAGTTCCTTCTTGTTGTTATTAATTGTATTATAAACAACGTAGAACGTTTTTTAAAAATCGTTATTTTTGTTTTCTTTGCATACAAAAAGTATTCTCGTAGCTTCATAAAATTACGGTTGAACCCCTGATGTCACATGGATTATTTTACTGATCTCCTTGCTACGTTTCTGGACCTTGATCGTGGTAGTTACCTTGCTGTCTATGGGAGGGTCAGAGAGCTCTCAGAATTCATCAAAAATATCTTAATTTGTTTTCCGAAGATGAACAGAGGTCTTACGGGTTTAGAACGATATGAGGGTGAGTAATTAATGACAGAATTTAGATTTTTGGGTGAACTAACCCTTTAATAGAAATTGCAGTTATACTATACATTCACTAGTGTGCGCTATGAAACCAGGCATTTTTTAATATTTCATGCATTTTAAATGCAGTTCTCTCAACTCTTACAGACTTAAACAGTTGACCTTTATATCATTCTAAGATTTACATTCAAAATGTATGCTTGCATTTGTGCAATTTCTATAATTAAATATAGATATATAAATCAGTATAATGTGTTATATTACACTACCATTCAAAATTTGGGGGTCAGTAAGATTTGTTTTTTAAAAAATCATAATTTTATTCAGCAAGGATGCATTAAATTGATCAAAAGTGACAGTAAAAAGTTTTACATTGTTAAAAAAAAATCTACAAATGCTGTTCTTTTGAGCTTTCTATTTGTCAAAGAATCCTGAAAAACTGTATCAGGATTTCCAGAAAAATATGAATCAGCACAATTGTTTTCAACATTGATAATAAAAAATGTTTCTTGAGCATCAGATCAGCATATTAGAATGATTTCTGAAGATCATGTGACACTGAAGACTGGAGTAATGATGCTGAAAATACAGCTGCGCATCACAGGAATAAATTACATTTTAAAATATATTCATCTAGAAAAGAGTGATTTTACTTTTACTTTTGAAATTTGTATCAGTTTATAAAGTGTAATTGTAAGAGACTATCTCTTTTATTCTGCAGAGGATGGAGACCGCGGTGCGTGTGTGTGCGTCTCAGTATGTGTGCGCTCCGGACAGTGAGCACACACTGCTGTCTGCGCCGGCTCAGTTCCTGCTGGAGAAGTTTCTGCAGTCCTGTAGCCACCGGCTCTTTCCTCTGGCCCTCTGTAACAGCACTAACCCCGTGCTCTCCATAGACAGCTACCTCAACCTCGGCCCACAGGTACAAATAAACGATGAGTCTCACACTTCAAGGGATAGTTCACCCAAAAGTACGGTTTTGATTATTTAATCACCTTAATATCACTCCAAACCTGTGTGACAACAGCAAACAACAGCTAACTCTCAGTGAATACGTATCGACAGTCAGAAAATGAATAGAATTACTTGGAGACAGTATTGACAGTTTATATTCTGCATATTAGTTCAGTCAGTAAAAAAGTGTTAATTTGTTGGGTTTTCTTTGTGTTTACAGATTCAGACGTGTTACATGAGCTCTCGGCCGCACTCAGTGAACGTGGATCATCAAGGGGTGCTGTTCGGTGGACTGCTGCTCTACTTGTGCGACTCCTTTGTCATTTCAAGCCTCCTGAAGAAATTCAACTTCCTCAAAGGTGAGTCCAGATCCCTTACAGCTGGAATATTATATATATATATATATATATACTGTATATATATTAGTGCTGTCAAACGATTAATTGCGATTAATCGCATCCGAAATAAATACAGTTTTTGTATACTTAATATATGTGTGCGTACTGTGTATATTTATTATGTATATATAAACACACACACATGCATGTATATATTTAAGAAAAATATGTAAAATATTTATATATAATTAATTCAATTATATGAATATAAATATATACATGGAAATATTTTCAAAATATATACTGTATGTGTGTGTATTTATGTATACATAATAAATATACACAGTATACACACATATATTAAGTAAACAAAAACTTTTATTTTGGACGTGATTATTCGCGATTAATCGCAATTAATCGTTTGACAGGACTAAAATATATATAAATCCAAAATACACTTACACTATCAAAAAGTCCAAAATGTTTGGGGTCAGTAAGGTTTTGTTTTTTAAATAAGTCTCTTCTGCTCACCAAGGCTGCATTTATTTGATCAAAAATACAGTAAAAACTGTAATATTGTGAAAGATTATTACCATTTTAAATAACTGTTTTCTGCTTGAATATATTTTAAAATGTAATTTATTCCTGTGATGCAAAGCTGAATTTTCAGCATCATTACTCAGGAGTCACATGATCCTTCAGAAATCATTCTAATATTCTGATTGTATGTCTTCTTATCACTTTTGATCAGTTTAATGAATCCTTGCTGAATAAAAGTAGCTTATTTCTTTCCAAAAAAAATTCTAACTGACCCCAGACTTTCAAATGTCTATAATTTTAAACAGCGTTGGGGGTAACGCATTACAAGTAACGTGAGTTATGTAATCAGATTACTTTTTTCAAGTAACTAGTAAAGTAACGTATTACTTTTTCATTTACTTTTTCAAATAAGTAACGCAAATTACTTTTTTTCCCCAATTTTTTTACTGACAGCTCTCCTGTCCCCATGTTGAGAGAAATCAGATGTAACTGTAGTTCAAAAATAAATATGAATATGCATTAATTCATCTCACTCACAAAAAACAACAACAAATAAAAACAATAAAAATTATGCAACTCAGAATGCTCTACTTGTGCGACTCCTTTGTCATTTCAAGCCTCCTGAAGAAATTCAACTTCCTCAAAGGTGAGTCCAGATCCCTTACAGCTGGAATATTATATATATATATATATATACTGTATATATATTAGTGCTGTCAAACGATTAATCGCGATTAATCACCAAAAAGTTTTGATTATTTACTCACCTTAATATTACTCCAAACCTGTGTGCTATTACCTGTTTCCTGGAACACAAAAGGAGAATTTTTGAAGAATGTTCATGCAGCTCTTTTCACAGTCTTTTTTGACAGTGTATGTGTATTAGTTCAGTTGGAAAAAATTGTTCATGTGTTGTGCTTTCTTTGTATTTACAGATTCAGACGTGTTACATGAGCTCTCGGCCGCACTCAGTGAATGTGAATCATCAAGGGGTGATGTTCAGTGGGCTGCTGCTCTACTTGTGTGACTCCTTTGTCGTTTCAAGCCTCCTGAAGAAATTCAACTTCCTCAAAGGTGAGTCCAGATCCCTTACAGCTGGAATATTATATATATATATATATATATATACTGTATATATATTAGTGCTGTCAAACGATTAATTGCGATTAATCGCATCCGAAATAAATACAGTTTTTGTATACTTAATATATGTGTGTGTACTGTGTATATTTATTATGTATATATAAATACACACACATACAGTATATATTTTGAAAATATTTACATGTCAGTCAGTAAAAAAGTGTTAATTTGTTGGGTTTTCTTTGTGTTTACAGATTCAGACGTGTTACATGAGCTCTCGGCCGCACTCAGTGAACGTGGATCATCAAGGGGTGCTGTTCGGTGGACTGCTGCTCTACTTGTGCGACTCCTTTGTCATTTCAAGCCTCCTGAAGAAATTCAACTTCCTCAAAGGTGAGTCCAGATCCCTTACAGCTGGAATATTATATATATATATATATATACTGTATATATATTAGTGCTGTCAAACGATTAATCGCGATTAATCGCATCCGAAATAAATACAGTTTTTGTATACTTAATATATGTGTGCGTACTGTGTATATTTATTATGTATATATAAACACACACACATGCATGTATATATTTAAGAAAAATATGTAAAATATTTATATATAATTAATTCAATTATATGAATATAAATATATACATGGAAATATTTTCAAAATATATACTGTATGTGTGTGTATTTATGTATACATAATAAATATACACAGTATACACACATATATTAAGTAAACAAAAACTTTTATTTTGGACGTGATTATTCGCGATTAATCGCAATTAATCGTTTGACAGGACTAAAATATATATAAATCCAAAATACACTTACACTATCAAAAAGTCCAAAATGTTTGGGGTCAGTAAGGTTTTGTTTTTTAAATAAGTCTCTTCTGCTCACCAAGGCTGCATTTATTTGATCAAAAATACAGTAAAAACTGTAATATTGTGAAAGATTATTACCATTTTAAATAACTGTTTTCTGCTTGAATATATTTTAAAATGTAATTTATTCCTGTGATGCAAAGCTGAATTTTCAGCATCATTACTCAGGAGTCACATGATCCTTCAGAAATCATTCTAATATTCTGATTGTATGTCTTCTTATCACTTTTGATCAGTTTAATGAATCCTTGCTGAATAAAAGTAGCTTATTTCTTTCCAAAAAAAATTCTAACTGACCCCAGACTTTCAAATGTCTATAATTTTAAACAGTGTTGGGCGTAACGCATTACAAGTAACGTGAGTTACGTAATCAGATTACTTTTTTCAAGTAACTAGTAAAGTAACGTATTACTTTTTCATTTACTTTTTCAAATAAGTAACGCAAATTACTTTTTTTCCCCAATTTTTTTACTGACAGCTCTCCTGTCCCCATGTTGAGAGAAATCAGATGTAACTGTAGTTCAAAAATAAATATGAATATGCATTAATTCATCTCACTCACAAAAAACAACAACAAATAAAAACAATAAAAATTATGCAACTCAGAATATGACGCAAACATGCAATAATTAAATGTTAAACAACACAAATATCCTTTATGTATTTAATCCCATTCTATTTGCTTCTGACCTTTGATGATCCAGTTCAACCGTATTAATAAGCACAAATTACTCTAGACAAACATTTGTGTCTTTTTGTATTGCTGAAGTGTGTTGAAATTTCTTCTTCTGCATTCTACTGTACGGACGTAAATGTACTTTCCCTTCAGCCTGAGGCTTATTCATTTCACTTTTGGTGTGAAAAAGCTTTTATATTTGCCAAAAATATAACTTTTTTATTTTAAAAACAAACAAGCAAACCCTGTCCCGATTTAAAAAGTAACGCAAAAGTAACGTAATGCATTACTTTCCATAAAAAGTAACTAAGTAACGTAATTAGTTACTTTTTTATGGAGTAACGTAATATTGTAATGCATTACTTTTAAAAGTAACTTTCCCCAACACTGATTTTAAACAGAATCTCAAACACAAAACCTTGTTTTCATGACTAAAATCGCAAATTCTAACTTCAAAATGGTCAGGACACAGTGTAATCTCAATGGTTCAAAATCCCACCCCACATAGTTATTGAATATAAAAGTTCATCAGAGCCATCAGAACAGTAATGGCACATTGTGCTCCTATAAGTAGCTTTAAATCATCTTTTCTATTGCTCGTCTTGCAGGCGCCACGCTGTGCGTGATCTGTCAGGACCGCAGCTCTTTGCGTCAGACTATAGTGCGTTTGGAGCTGGAGGACGAGTGGCAGTTTCGTCTGCGGGATGAGTTTCAGACGGCCAACTGCAGCGAGGACCGTCCCCTCTACTTCCTCACAGGCCGCCATATCTGATCTCCACATCTCCATTTCCCTTCAACTGTTTGGCCAGCACATAGAGAAGAAGTTTTCCAGCATCATAGCTCTCCAACACTGAGAGTTTCTGCTTCTGAAGAGAATAAGACTTGAGATTCTCATGCATTCTGCATCACCTCGGACGACGTTTGAGTATTGATACTGTGCTGGATACAGATGTTGCGTGTTTCCCTTTTTTTACGTTTTGGAAAAGCTTTCAGAACTTTGTTTGTTGGTGATTTTGCGTGTCCTAAAACGCAAGGACATTGCGAAGGATATGTCCTTCTACATATGATCTCAGGGATATTTGTCGCAAGACAAAAGGACTTACTACTGCTATTCTTTCTTCTTGCCTGCTTTATGTAATGCTTATCATCAACGTCATCCACCAAAGACTCATAAACTCCTCGAGCTGAACGCTCACACAGCAGCATATGATGTGTTTAGGTTTAGCATTTCATTGGGTAATCCAAAATTATGTCATCAATGCAAAATGACTAAACATCTTCTATAATCTTTTGTCTTGCCAAAGATATTGCCTGACGTAATCCAAACCATTCCTTGCTCCTCAGAGCTGTCAGTCGTCCAAGTTTGGGCATTGCAATGGACTCACAAGGTTACAAAGTTCAATTACTGAAGTCAACATCCGCTGTATCTGAAGAAATTCATTTATGATCTTCTTGATTGCGGTCTGAATCAGCTGATGTGTGCCGATGTTCTTTATGATTGTAAATGCTAGTTGGTACATATCTGAAGTGTTAACCACAGTTAAAAGGTCATGTTGTCTAAAGTTAGCATCTATTAATCATCATATTTCAGCAAAACGTTCCTTTTATTGAAGTCGCTGGGAATGTTTTGTAGTTGCACACTATAAATGCCTTGAGGAACCCTGAGGACGACACAATCCCAAACTCCACTCCAGAATAGACTATTAATATCAGTGAAACAGGAGAGACAATGACCATTTCATAAAGATGGCTACCTTGCTAGCTAGCCAGCTAGCTAATATGGTATGCCTGAGAAGATGAGTGTTCTGGATTGGTTTATCTTTTGATGTAGACTTTTTGGATGTTAAAAGAAAAAAGCTTTGTTTACATTTTAAGAAATGCCGATATTAATATATATGACAGACTTTTTGTCACTTTGGATTCTGGCTAGTTTTAGTTTATTTTTCCACGGCACAAAGAATCTACCTAGGACCCATTAGTTTCTGTTTCGGGTGATTTATTTAAAATTAGAACAAATGGATCCCTTTTTTGAGGGATTGTTTTATTTATTGAAAAAGCTTCTTGGACTGATAATCATTGAAATATCAGGAATGCTTTGCTAGGTCAAGTCCTTGAATTCATCACCAAAAGCTTTGCACACTTGACAGATGATGTATTAGAAATGAACTAATGTAAGCAAAAAAAGCCTAACAAATATATGGTTTACATTATTATGAACCAACTGGAGTGTTTAGAATGAAATGCATCAGTTCCCGTAATGATACTGATTGTAATGATGAAGAAAGCCAAATACCCACTGGACAACGAATGTGTCTCATTTGTAGATAATTTGATGTGCACATAAATTATGCAATTTGCTTCTCACAATCTTTGCATCTTTCCTGTCAGCTGTGAATATTCTGAACATATGTAGCTACGAACCATTTGAAATCTTCTACCTCATGATCTACTGGCCGGCTTTGGTTTAGTAAGCATTTGATTTCAGAAAAATTTTCTTATTGCTGTTGAGATAAATGAATGTAATAAAGTGTTATCAACAACCTTATAGCGTTTGTGTGAAACTTTCATACATAAAAAATGTGAAAAGCTTAACTAATCACGTGACCTTCTCACCCTCACATAATGGCTTCTTCAAATGACAAAATAGAATTTCTAAATAAACCTGAGTTTGTCTCTCAAATTTGATTGGATGAGCGGCGTTCCAAGAACTCTAACAAATGTTTTAAGTTGCTGGGGTATATTTGTAGCAATAGCCAAAAATACATTGTATGGGTCAAAATTATCGATTTTTTTTATGCCAAAAATCATTAGGATATTAAGTAAAGATCATGTTCCATGAAGATATTTTTTTAATTTCCTACCGTAAATATATCAAAACTAAATTTTTTATTAGTAATATGCGTTGCAAAGAACTTAATCTGGACAACTTTAAAGGAGATTTTCTCAGTATTTAAATTTTTTTGCACCCTCAGATTCCAGATTTTCCTAACAAACCATACATCAATGGAAAGCTTATTTAGTCAGCTTTCAGATGATTTATAAATCTCAATTAAAAAAATAGACCCTTTTGACTGGTTTTGTGGTCCAGGGTCACAAATGAATCATTCACTCAACTGATTCATTCAAAAACACTAACTTGGGAACAAAACGTCATTAATATTTGATACTCGGAGAACGCAATGTTTGATTCAACTGTGTTTGCAATTGTCTTACGTGGCAAAGCAAACCCTTATTGCACACATACATCACGGAGACATCTATTTGACGTCTGCATTACATCTGTGAGACTTCTCTTTTAGAGTGTTTGCTCATCTGCAATACATCTATAGGACGTTTCCTATCAGATGTCAAATAGATGTTTAGAAGATGTCTTTAAGATGTTTATGATTTAGAATGCATGTAAAACTGACATCTTAGAGACGTCTATCAGATGTTTGTACACAGCAGATGCTTTCCAGATGACGCGAACATTAACAGACATCTTGCAGACGTACCTGTGCTATCTGGGAAAATTGTCACCCTAACAAAACTTATTCGAAATTTCACGAGGTATCGAGGAGGGCTTTTGGCGAAATTTCGCAGAAAAAAACCTCCGTTTTTTAAATTTCAGTAAATTTCAACCCAAGCAGCTTCCTGTAGGTCAACATGGCAAATCCGTGTGACAAATTTGAACCCCCTGCTAAGTCTGTGTAATGAATTTTATTTAATTTATTATTATTTATCTTTGTTAACTGTTACTGTCTGTATATTGAAAGAAAGAAAGAGAAAGAAAGATCGGCTTTGGGGAATCTTTCACACTCGAGCAAAATGCTATACTATTATACTGTTTTTATCTATTTACTGTTTTATCTATAATATATCTATTATAGATAAATATATATAATGTCCTGTTTCCGTAAGACAGTCTTATATGTTTGCTGTGCTAATTTGCTGAGTGAAACCATCAACCATCAACCAACTATGAACCTTGTATGCAGTTACCTTTGTCCTCAATATTGTAGAATTCTGTATAAAATTACACCACGGTTCAACCCAGGAGAAGTAGTGAACTTTAACCCTATTAAAGCAGTGTGACACTTTATCAGTCCACTCAGCTTGTCAAGATATCCTCATGATGACTGTCAAGGGTGAAAGCCTGTGGGTGGTTTTTATGTGGTTTTCGAGTGAGGCGCTCGGGTGAAGTGTGAAACACAGAGTCCAAAATAAATCTGGCAGGCAGTGTTTTGATGCATTGGTACATCCTATTATAGTCAAAAGAGCCCAGATGCCCTACTTACATGCCTAAACACACACAAATTCACACAGTTTCCTCACTTTGGTACATCTGAGATGCAGACATATGCTCTGTTAGAAACAGACATACTGGCTAATAATAAAAGGCTAAAATATATGCAGTAAAAGTAAAAAGAATTGAAGATATTTGTTTATTACAAATAAGTACAATGACTGTGCCATGCTAAAGTACTGGAATCAGATGGTAATACCATGGTACTTCCCTGTTGAAAAAAACAGCATATGCTGGTTAGGTATGTTTTGATGCTGGGATACTGGTTTAAGCTGGTCCTTTTGCTGGTTTATGTCACGAATCCGGTCCACGAACTTTCCTATTCATTGACTCTCGCACTACACACTGTTGCACATCCCCCCGGACTACATTTCCCATCATGCATTGCACTGATTGCACTCAGCACGAATTGCACACACCTGTTTACACTGATTGCACCCAGCTGTTTCATATCACTCCCTCACTATTTAACACTCACTCTGATCCCTTCCCTTTGCCGAGTATTGTTTCAGCATTTATCCCACCCCTAGAGATAGCTACCTTACGGAGCCCTTGTCATTGCCTTAGCCCTAGTCGTTTGCCTTAGCCGTAGTCATTTGCCTTAGCCGTAGTCATTTGCCTTAGCCGTAGTCATTTGCCTTAGCCGTAGTCATTTGCCTTAGCCGTAGTCATTTGCCTTAGCCGTAGTCATTTGCCTTAGCCGTAGTCATTTGCCTTAGCCGTAGTCATTTGCCTTAGCCGTAGTCATTTGCCTTAGCCGTAGTCATTTGCCTTAGCCGTAGTCATTTGCCTTAGCCTTAGCCTTCTCGGTTTCTGATCTTCGCCTGGTTCCCTGGATTCACCCCTTTTGTCTTGCCCCCTTTGATTCTGTTTGATTCCCCCTTTGTGTGATCTAGCCGATCGTCGACCTGCGCTAGCCCTAGGACTATTCTTGTGTTTTGCCCACCATATACCTGTTTGCCCTCATCTTCCGCTTAAACCAGCAAAGGACCAGTTTAAACCAGCAAAGGACCAGCATAAACCAGCATCCCAGCGTCAAAACATACCTAACCAGCATATGCTGGTTTTTTCAACAGGGTTTGCTTTATTCAAGGTAATTTAAAGAATATTATGGTATATTTCCAAAGAACAAGTCCAAAAGCATAGTAGTACAATTGTACATTTCCACTTGTTTACTTTCAGTGAAACATTATGTTGTACATAAACACTCTGAAGTAAACATATTAACCAAAGATATATTGATAATGTTAATGTCACACTCATCTTCTTGGTAATGACTTCTCCATCTGGCTAGATTTGTATAATTAGGCTGTAGCAGACTGCTAGATATGCTATACATTCATGAGTTTAGCAGTCTGTCTTCTCTGGATGAGATTTAAAACAGAAAAGGACTTGGTAGGGAATGTGGGTCAAAGTTCCTCCAAACAAACAATGTCTGTATGGAGCTCATCTGAAGTTTATCAGCACGGATGTAGATATGCGAGTTATGCTCACAGCTGTTCAGACGGCATATTTGTGATTGAGGCGAGACACTACAGGCAAAAACATTACTTTCATGCACCGGTCAGTGTTGGGATTTTGGGCTATTTGACTTCTCATAACATATTGTTTCAGACTGGTGGAAAGAAAACATCCAAAATGCAATTTATCTATCTTATTCACACTTCATAGTTTTATTCCAATCTACTGTATTTTCTGAAGCTTTTTACAGAGGGGTTTGTTCATGTAACCCCTGATTTTATACAACCTTTTATTCCTAAAAACACTGCGAAAATGTATTGTTTTTATGGCTGTTGACAGTATTTTCTGATTTATGGAATGATAAAAACAAGTCCAAAATCCCCTCTGTAATAATATTTTAACAAAATAAAACAATTTCTGATTTCTGTTCTGGATATGTATACAACTTATTGCATATTTATTTAGATAATGCCTCATTTGTATATTTAAACATTTATGTTTTTTTGCCATTCTTAATGTAATCAATCAACTGGGGAAGTATGGTAATATCTATTGTTAGTTATGGGGTGTCTTGCCTTCCATTCTTAAGTAAATTATTTAATTTTCTTAGGTTTTGTACAAATTGATGTTTTGACTATATCAAGTCAAGCTCAAATATTCAGCTCTGTTACTCAAATTATTGTGAGAAAAATGAGCAATCAAATAGTTTTCTATAATTCATGTTCCTAACTAACTAAAAACCAAGATTTAATCCCACACTGAGTCACAGATTAATTTAGAAAAATGTAAACCCTGTTAATCATTTCATTTTTTTATATATATTTAATCTGTCTTCCTTTTGAATTTTTTTTCCTACCTGTTAAAAAGAATAAAAATGGTCTATTTTATACTGTATTCATGAAAAGTGCATTTCAATATTTGATATTTGACTGTGAGATTCAGATTACAACAGGGCATAATGAATTAATCATCAAATAATTAATAATTGCCACATGACTAATATATTTATAAAGAAAAACTTTACAGTTGAATTCCATAATTTATTTAATGCACTTATAATCCATACAAGTACATGTGCATATATACATATCTACATAGACATAGATCTTGTATTCAAATCTTATTGCTGCACATGTTCAATACACAATCTTCATGGAAAAATATGTCTGTTGTGCTACAGATTATATGATGCATGTCAGTATATTTACTCGAGACACTTAGAACAGTGACACATGCTTCTCAGGAACAGCATGGACGGGAAGCAGAGAGGAAAGCATTTTTAAGCCTACAGGAGCAAATGCGGCTGACAGTTAGAAGCGCAATATGAAGCAGCACCGTCATAAAAGCAGACAAAGGTCAATATACAACACATAGCTGGGCGGTTTCATATTCAATAACTAATGTCTAGTTCTGGATATCATACCATTCCTCCAGGAAAATCCCTACATACAATTATATCCGGGAACAGATAGTTACATCGTTTATTATAAAGAGCTTCCTCATAAAATCACTGCCATCACTATTCCTGTCATTCTCACATACTGTAACTAATGATTGCTCCAGTTTTTTTTCTCATTCTTTATATCATTTAAGGAGCTGTTAGTAGGATTTCAATGGCACCATCATATAAAAAGCAATTCAAAGCAAGCATATTTTAGTTTAAACAAACAGTAGCTCAAGTCATTTTCACATTCACAGAATCCTTGAAGCCACGTCTATCCGGTTCAAGAAAACACACTTTACTTACAGGGCTACACAGGTTAAGTGCCTTTAACTCAAATTAGTGCAATTTTCACATTCTTAGTCCAAAAATATGATTCATGTTAAACTATGTCAATATAACAGTAATAAATGAGAAAAAAGTGCATGCGGTACATTCGTATGAAAAATAAAAACTGTGATGATACAATCTTTTTTTGTTGTTTTTTTTGCCATAAAAACACAAACTAACATGAAACAAAGAAAGTGGGGTTAGTTAGTTTAGACATTTAAGATACTTTAAAGAAACATCAACAGAACAAAGACAATTTTTAACATTTTTAAAACAATTTCTGAGGAAGCAATTAATGCTTTACTTAAGATTTGATCTTACAGACTCATAGGGTTACGGTAATGTATATATATATATATATATATTATTTTTTTTTTCTAAAAGCAAAGCTATTATAAGTATACATCATGGCACTATCTGAAATTAATTAATGGTGATTTAATAACGCATTATATGCAAAAAGGATAAGGGGAAATGTACTCTTGAGAATAATTAGTATTTCTAAAATTAAGCTTCATTTTTCTTTATGCAAACATATATTCGCATTTTTTTATTTTGATTTAGTGGTAAACCTAGACATGCTCCTAATAGGTTTCAGGGCTATAAACTATGTTTTTCTGGACATTCTCTCTCTTATGTGGATTCATGTTGAGTGATATCACCTAGTGAGTGATTCAGTGGTCCAGGTGGATAAAAATACATAATTAAGAGAGTCATACACAGACATGCAATTAAGAAACAAATAAGTGCAGCAATGGATGGACGGATGGAACATGTGCGGGCCAAAGAAGAATTTCTGTTTCATGAATGCAAATCAAATAAAACTACTAAAATTATGAAATAAATAAATGAACAGACTAAAAAAAACAATCCTGGCCCTCAAGTGAACCTGTGCCCTTCATTTTGGAAATGTATACAGATTTTTTTGCTCATGGCTGTAGAGGGAATGGAAAGAGAAGGTCAGTGGAGATCATCTAGACTGCTGCCGTTCTCAAACACAGCTTTGGTGAACTGGCGAAAAACTCGGTCCATGTAGGTGCTCTGCCGTGGCCACAGACCCTCCAGAAAGCCAATATGGCCGCCATGACAGGTGATAAGCAGGGCCACATTGGGGTTCTGCTTCACCGCCTCCACTGGAAAGGCTGAGGGAGAAAGACCTTTTTTAGCTCAATATGGATGGGATAAAGTCAACTGGCTGGGCCAAATTGAAGTTTCTTTCACTTCAGCCCTACACTTAAATGTCACATTTTCTTAAAAAAGTGTTAATTTCGTTGACGAATAATTTTCGTCATAATTTTCGTCAACAACATTTGACGTCGAGACGATAATGAACTAAAACTCTTTTTGAATGACAAAAACTATGACGTAAATCTATTGACATTTTCGTCAACGAATAAAAACGAGACGAAAATGTTAGGGAGAGACAATCTGGGAAGAGATTCATTCAGAACGATTAGGTTAGATGCGTACTTATGAACCGGCGGGACATAAGCTAACATACACTTGCTACACGTCGCATAAAACGTTCAAAAATGTCAATATGTGTAAGAGTAAGAGAAGAGCAGACATATGGATAAATCTGATGACGCAAGAGAGAACTCAATTCGGTCCGTTTTTCTGAGCGGAGACACTGAAGCATACACACACACACACAGAAAGCGCCTCTCACAGCGCGCGAATACTCCTTCGCGTCGCATGAACGGAGAACTACCGTATTGGCCCGAATATAAGACGACCCTGATTATAAGACGACCCCCCTTTTTCCAGATGCACCTTTTGGAAAAAGGCTTTTTAAAAACCAAATCTTGTTTTTTCTCAGTAAAACACATTTTGTCTTCAATTATATTCATATTGCATATTTTTCTTATTTTAATTTTTGTTTTGAAAGTATGGTAAAAACTGGTAAACTGTACCAACAATCACATTTAAAAAATATACACTTTTTGATATACCATTAAAAAAACAAAAACAGGTGGCCCATCTGAATTAGGACATTTAGGCTATCCATCTAATAGTAGCCTACCAAAATCTTAAAACAGTAGAAGTTAAATCTTACTGCAGTCTTCAAATCAGGGTACTGTCTTAAGGCGGACGTACACGGTGCGATTTTTGCTGTCTAACGAGCTCGCAGGCGATTTTTTTCTCTCGGGAGAAAATCGCAGATGCTCGCATGGTCGCGGCTCGTACCATGTGGGAAGAATTACGGGCCGATCTGAGATGTTACGAGCACCTCCCGTCCTCCCGATAATTTTCAAACATGTAAAAAAAATCAAATGCTGTCGGTTTAAATTCGTGGCGTATGTGCGGTTGAACGAGACAATTTGGCGATCCATCTGAAGTTGACCAATCAGAAGATGACAAAAAACATGTAGTCTATAATAATTTTAGTTTAATTATACAGGTCTATTTTTTATTTGTTATTCCGAATGTGACAAATTTGAAGTTAAATCTTACTGCAGTCTTCAAATCTGGGTACTGTCTTAAGTCGGACGTACACGGTGCGATTTTTACTGTCTAACGAGCTCGCAGGCGATTTTTTTCTCTCGGGAGAAAATCGCAGATGCTCGCATGGTCGCGGCTCGTACCATGTGAGAAGAATTACGGGCCGATCTGAGATGTTACGAGCACCTCCCGTCCTCCCGATAATTTTCAAACATGTAAAAAAAATCAAATGCTGTCGGTTTAAATTCGTGGCGTATGTGCGGTTGAACGAGACAATTTGGCGATCCATCTGAAGTTGACCAATCAGAAGATGACAAAAAACATGTAGTCTATAATAATTTTAGTTTAATTATACAGGTCTATTTTTTATTTGTTATTCCGAATGTGACAAATTTGCCATTCAGCTTTATGAATGAATATGCCTGTTGTACTTCCGGCAAAACCAGCAGAAATTCAGAAATGGCCTACTCCCTCGAGTTCTTTATGAAGAACAGAAAGTCCATGCTTTTCTCTGCTTTTCAGCCATTCT